CATCATCCAATGAGCATCTCCCAGGCAAGCCAAGAGAAGGATCTGGCCAAACTCCACCTTCCCAACAGACGCACGCACGCACCATGTGCCAGTGCCTGTGTTCATGAGAGGGCCAAGACTGGCAGAAAAGCCTGCTCAGTGGATTCCCTCCACTCCGGCAAGCAGCCCGGGGATCGCAGCCCCTCACTCCTCAAACCCAAACCGCATCAGTATACAAATCAGACATCTCTGCCAACAGAGCAGCGTTAGCACAGAGAGATAAATCAGCGGTATCCTGGCTAAATGTATATTTATTCTTTCTGCTTGCCAGAGCCACAGCACTGCTGTAGATTTAAACATCTGATAAATATCTTTTCTGATTCTTAGTAATAATTAAAACAAACAGACCCCAACACACACACACACACCTCAAAAACAGAAAGTCAGCAAAGAGGCGGCTCTGCTTTGGACCTAATACTCCATGGCAGCTACGATCTTCAGTAAGAGCACTCTTCCACAGCCTGGGCCCTACCCAGACAAGGATGCTATTGCAGTCGACAGTCTGGGGACCAAAAGGAGGCACCTTAGGACCATGATGTGAGGTCACCCCCGCAAAAGAAAAAGCAAGCAGTAAGCAGTAGGCACTGAGGTGGGTCTACACATAGTGTCTTCCAGCAGAGACTCTGAGACAGGCTGAGAAGCTGTGCAAAGACGTCCAACAGGTACCTCAGCTGCCTTCTCATCCTCACAAAGAACACAGCCCAGACAAAGCCAGAACCTGGCCAACCGATCCCCAGCCTGACCAGAACCAGAACAAACAGGAATGCAATCCAGAAATGGAAGGCCATAAGCAAGTTTATTACAGTCTCCAGCACAGACTAAGGGAGCTGACCCAAGATGTGTGAACAGTGTATTCCATGTAGGAATTCCAGTCACCCAGGGCTCATAAGCTGCTCCACCTGAGTCTGCCAGCCTCCACTGCACAGGCTACAGCACTTAAGGCAGCGACTCTCAACCTATGGGTCTTGACCCTTTGGGGAGTCACATATCAAACATCCTGCATATCAGATATTTACATTACAATTCATAACAGTAGCAGAATTACAGTTATGAGAGTTTCATAGTTGGGGGGGTCACCACAACATAAGGAACTGTATTAAAGGGTCACAGCATTAGTAAGGCTGAGAACCACTGCTCTAAGGGAAGATAACCTCTGTTCCTCGGAGTTGGCCACTAACCACAGTAAAGGCATCATCACGCTTTCCCTGGCAATCCCACACAGGCAAGCACAGAGAACTGAGCACTAACCCTAGCATGTCTGCTTGGGGACCAGCAATTACTGGGATGCAAACCGCTTTGAAACTAGACTGCATCCTTCTAGCACTTTCCACTTAAATGCTCAAACCGCATCTTCCTAAGTGGGGTCTAAGGAGCCCGACTTCAATCCTGAAAAGCTTCTGGAAATGATAAGGTCAGAGGGTGACCACAGAGAAGGCCTTTCTGGTCACACGAAGACACCGGTCTCTAGCTGGCAGTGAGACACCAACAGAAACCATTCCTGCTACTGCAGATTTCCTCTCAGCATCGCCAGGCTCAGAACTCAAAGCTGTAGAAGGAAGAGGAGCAGGAGGACTGGATTCTCTGAACTCCATCCTCCAGAGACCGAGCTCTCCCCATTCACTGTGCACCTTTCCCCCATCAGAGGGCCACAGTGCGTGTTCTTCATGCAGGCTGTGTTTTGAGCCCACTATATTAATGGACTCTTTCCTCTACTAATTTCCCTTTGCTGTGCTTATCTTAACACTCCTTGTACAGACTTGCCACTTTCTACTGAGGAAGCTCCCAAACTACAAGACAAAGGCCCTATGCGATCCTCAACAGAGTGAGCACAGCCCCATCTGCCCAGAATCGATGTAAGCACAGGCCATGGTCTAAGGCTGACTATTTGTTGGACACGTGTCTCTGAACCATCACTACATCTGTGACAGTCTCTCAAATTTTCTGAGCATGCTTCTGAGCACTGGAGACAACAAGATCAGCCTTTCATATCTGCAAGACACATGTGTCCGTGAGCCATCACCACACCATGCTTTGTGGATGGTGCGATGGGCCTCCCAGGTGTACTGTCAGGATCATGTCCACGCCATGACCTCTTCGCTCTCCAAGAGTGACCAACTCTGTGGCTGTCCCCAGCCTGGCTCAGTAGCCGGTGCTCTTTATTTCCTCTCTACAATCCATGGGCAAGAATTAACCCAAGAGAACAGAGGGCAGAGGCAAGCTCTAAAGTGTAAAAGCTAGGCTATCAAACTGGAAAAGAAACGGAAATTAACTCATTATTAACACAATGTAAGAACAGGGAAGGAACAGGGGGAAAATATGAATTCCTGGGATGCTTTGGACCTCATCTGTTTCAAAAACTTAGGAGGGTGGCATTTTAAAGACTCATAATGGGGATATTTCCATGGTTTAAAAACTATTTTTTAATAAATTTCTTCAGGGAATTAGAAGGCACTTTTATAGACTGACTAGATCCTAATGAAAATCCCGGCATCCGTCACAACACCCTCTTGGAATTTAATTTCCCTTCTGCACACAAGTGACGACAGAAATTCACTGATGTTGCCACTAAGGCAAGTCACAGTCTGCCTAGAGTGCAAAAACTTCAAAGCCAACAGGGGCAGGAGGACTAGTGGGAAGTGATTCCAATCTACCTGTGTTCCTCATCCACTGTCAGCCAGTCACTTCCTCCATGACCACCTGCCCCGTCCCTTCCAGGGCCTCCAGAAGCCCCCAAATTCAGCTATCCTTTCCTTGTCCAAAAAAGAAAAGAAATCTAGGAAATAAGCCAAAGAAAACTAGCTATAACTACCTCCATCTCCCAACACATGATTTGCCCTTTCTGGCTTCTGATTTTGTTCAGTTCCTTCTTGAACCCATCCCCCCAAGGCCCTGGAATGTTCTCTGTGTACACTGGGATTGGCGTGAGGAGGCAAAAGCCGGAGGAATTATTCATAAGGACAAAAATGTTCTTTAAAAAGCCTTTCTCCCCTGAGGACAATTCCTCCTGGAAGACTTAATCAATCCCATTATCTGGAGTGCCTGAGTAAGGAGAGAGAGGAGGGGCCAGACTTCACCCAGCATTTGGTTCACAGGTGAGGGAAAGCAGCATGGCTCCCATTTTACACAGGCAGATCCCAGGTCAGAGGTGAGGCAAGGGCTGGGGACTTACACCTGGGCCCACTTATACTCCCAAGATTCATGTTACAGGCGGCTTCCAGTGTCCAGGCCTTATGGCCCAACATCCTGAGTAAGACAGCATGTTGATTTTCAGGTTCATGACGTCACTTAGAGATGGCAACCTTTTAGACAGATAAGAATTGCTTTCCCATCACTACAAAAGGCTATCTGCATGCAGAGAAGCTGCTGGGACCCAGAGTTGTGTCTCTTGGCTTTGCTTCCTCACCCATGAACCGGAGCCCATTCCTCTTCACCAAGTCTAAAAAGCATAAAGGGTTCAAGTGGTAACTATATTGAAAATACGATCTTTGTTAATTTAGCAGTCTCTGTTAAAGTCATATTCACAGATGCACACACGACAGATATTTTAAGGGCTGGATGTAATTAGTCAAGCCCTTACATGTTTAAGATACCAGTTTACACTATCTTAAAGTTAACATCTACTGCCACTCCCAAGAAACTAGCAACACAATTTTAAGGATTACTGAAAATGACATGGTCAAGTCAAAGCCAATGTGGATTTGGAAAGCTGAAAATGGAAGTGGACAGGAGAAGAACATTCAGTTACGACAGAACAAGGAAACCCTCCTCACCTCCCACACCTTAACTCGACCATTAATACGCTGGTTAGCCCCGGTTTCAGGGATTCTGTGACTGCCCTCAGCACCCAGAAACTTGTCTCCCCAAGTTCAGATGAGGGGACTGGGGAATAAGACGGTGTAGACGCAGCCAACACTGCTACTTGGATATTTTTTTAATGACTGCACCCAAGCATACTGCATGCCTATTTATTTACTACTTTCACTTGAAAGCAATCAGCTTAGTTCAGAAACACCACATGCACTAGGAAATCAGCCCACGACTTCTAAGCCGGGATGGAAGAGACGGCAGGGCTGCAGTTGCACGCGCCTCAATCAGACAGAAGGATAATGAGATCTGGACATGTCCACCAGGGAGGGCTCCATCAAACCAACTGAGCGACCACCCCAGGCTTGAAGGCTAAAAAAAGAAACCGTTCATGCCCATGGGTGATATGTTCAGTATGTCCTCAGCTTTAGGAGCAGCTTTATAGCAAAGACAAATGGACAGCCCGGAACACCACTGCCTGCCTGAGCACAGCACTCACAAGGTACACTTACCACCAATGATTACTTTTTTGCTTTGTGTGGTCAATCTTTTTAGCTTCTGTTTCCCTTTCAAGCTACCCTAATTTCTTCCTGAGAGCAAGTAGGAACATATGTGCACACAGGAGTCTGCAAGTCAGACAAGGCTACACTCCAAGCCTCCCTCTAAAACCTATTCCTGCATCCCATTGCACAGATAACAACACTGAGGTCCGGATGGCTCACCCAAGGTCATGTCCTACTGACACAATGAGATTCTCCCAAGGACTCAAGAGGCCCCTGACCCGGGCCCACAATTGTATGCTACTGCGCTGGACTTGGCATGGAGGTGTCTTGAATACTAAGTTTATTTGGGGGTGAGGGTCATCCAGTTCATCAAAGGGCACCACATAGGTTGTTCTAATAACTCACGGACATCCGCTGAAACCTTGTTTGGGAAGTATCCAACGACAGACAGGAAATCAGAGGCCATGTCTTCTATCCACCCACCATGGCTAGATGTGCTGTGTGGCTCTGGGCAGCTGCTGGCCCAGCCCCGGGAATCTCTTAAACGCTAGGGGGCCCCGACTTTCGCAGCTCCGAGCAGGGAATGAGAGGGTGGGTGGGTGTGCGTGCTTCATGCGGTCCCATCCCACTCTCCTCAGAACACCCTACACGTACCGTTCACTCGGCGGCCCGCTCAACTTCCCCAGGACCAACGCACCGCAGTGGGAGGTGAACGAGGCACCGGGAGGGGCGGTCCTGGAGCCCGCGACGCACGAAACCACACTCAGTTCCTTCCCCACGGGGACCCCGGACGCCACGAGGGGCCCCCAACTCCGGGCCGGGCCCCTGGGCCGCAGCGGGGAAGAGGCCGGTCCGTCCCCGCCGCCTTCCTGGGTTCCCCGGCCGCCCGCCGCCACCTGCAAACACGCGCCCCTCTGCGGGCCGCGCGTGTGTCCGCGTGTCCGCGCGGGGCCTCGGCCGCCCGCGCCGCACTTCCCGCCCGGCCCCCGGGGCCGGCGAGCCGCCCCAACTTTTCCCGGCCCGGCCCGGAAGGCAGACGCGGCGGGGAGCGCAAAGCCGTCCCGCCCGCCGGCGCGCGCCCCCCGCGGCGCCCCGGCCTCCCGGCCCCGCTCGCCGAGGCCCCGCTCGCAGCCGCGCGCTCCCCGCAGCCCCCGCGCCCACCTGCCGCCGCCGCGCACGGCCGGGTACGTGGCAGGGGCCGCCGCTCGCCCGCCTCGCCTCTGCTCGCGCCTCGCGGGCGGCTCCGGGGCGCGGGATCGCGGCGCCAGGCGCCCTCTGCCGCCGGGAAGCCGAATCCTGCGCCCTAACCCTAACGCGGGGCCGGGCCGGGCGGCACCCTGCACCCTGCAGCCTGCAGCCTGCGGGAGCCCGGCAGGCCTGGACCCCAGCCCGCCACATGCAGGGGGACGCAGGCGTCGCTGTCAGGTCCAGCGGAGGCAGCCAGGCCTGACGCACCCTGAGTCTAGGACCCATTGAACCGGAGGCGGGGGTCTGTCTTGCAAAGCGAAGGGCTACCCTGCATGGCCAGGTGCACCCAGCTGCGCCTCCGCCATTGTTGAGGGGAGAAGGGAGGGTTTAGGGTTTGCGGAGTGTTATGTTCCACATGGCGGAGTTGAGCTTGGCCGGCCAAGCGGTCTGTGACCAGAGGCGCTGGCTTCCTCAGGTGGCCACTCTTGCAAAACTGTTTTCAGGTGGCCCTTGGGTACGTTCAGAAAGCTGCACAGTTTCATGTCCGACACAGGTCAGTTGCCCGATGGCAGAAGTTTGTGCAGTGTGACCTGTGTCTGGGGTTTATGAGGAAGCAAAATAAAAACACAAATCTTCCCCTCCCATCCAAGTAGACTTTCACACCTCAAGGGGATGATATTCTGACGAGGGTTTGTTTCTTATGAATTATACATGTGCACACATGTTCAGCTTATCATAAATAAAATGGGATTTCTTGCTCCTTATCTCATCAGTATTAAAGCCCCACAAGGCCCTAAGCTAAATGTTACTAAGGACTTGTAGCCAAACGCACAGATTTTAAATCAACCACTCAAAAGTTGAACAGTCTCAGGAAAGCTAATCTCCTTTTGCCAAAAATGAACTCGTCCATAATAGTCGTAAAATCTACTTCCTAGTGTTGTGGTTTGAAGATCCGCAGAGATCGTGTACAGCACTTAGCATAGCCATGGCAGGCTATGGGGGGGGGGGGCTAGTTTGGGGTCTGAGGAGATGACTCCAGTGCTGGCCACTCAAGCATTAGGACCTCAGTTCAGGATCTGCACCCCATAAAAGCTCAGCATAGTTCTGTCTCTCTCTCTCTCTGTCTCTCTCTGTCTCTGTGTGTGTGTGTGTGTGTGTGTGTGTGTGTGTGTGTGTGTGTGTGTGGTGTGTGTGTGTGTGTGTGTGTGTGTGTGTGTGTGTGTGTGTGTGTGTGTGTTTAAAATCCTAGCGGGGGAGAGGAGACATTTACACCCTTGGAGCACTCTGACGGACTGACCAGCTAGCCTAGCTAAAAGGCTGAGATCGAGGTTCCGTGAGAGACCCTGTCTCAAAAAACAAGGTCTCAGCCATAGAGGAAAGGCCACGGTGTTGACCTTTGACCTCCACATGCACATGTTCCTGCAGGCACACAGGGACACACACAGGAAGTAAAGGCCAATTTTTAAGGTTTATTTTTGTTTACTTTATCTATGTGTGCCCGAGGAGGCCAGAAGAGGGCACCAGATCCCTGGGCGGTTCAGTTACAGGAGGCTCTGAGCCATCTCGCCTGTGCTGGGACTAAAACTTGAGTTCCCTGGGAGAACAGCAAGGGCACTTAACTTCCATGCTACCCCCCTCCCCCCAAAAAAGGTTAATTTTTCACTTGAGGACATCTTTGCACCTTAGGTTTTGTTGGTTTTTTTAATTTTATTTTGTTTGTTTTGTTGATTTTTTTATTTGTTAGCTTTTTGGTTTTTTGGGTTTTTTTCCAAGACAGGGTTTCTCTGTGTAGTTTTAGCTGTCCTGGATCTTGCTCTGTAGACCAGGCTGGCCTTGAACTCACAGGAATCCTCCTGCCTCTGCCTCCCGAGCACTGGGATTAAAGGCATGTGCCACCACCACCTTAAGGACATCATTGAGACCCTGGGTGGTGGCTCCGTCACTTGTGTAGGAACAAGGCCACCCCTGTCTCCCCTGAGTCATGGTATCGCATTGGTTTGTTAAAAGCTGTGACTGTTGCAGATTTCCTAAAGAGCTTCTGTGACCAGCCCTTTAAGAAAAGTAACCAGTCTATGAGGTGATCTCTGGAGTACACAGGTATTTCATAAAAGCATTATCAGTGTAGTTAGCAAGCACACTGGGTGAGTCTATCTAGGGTTGTGGGTCCTAGATGGAGAGAAACAATTGTATGAGGTAAAGTTCTTGTCCTTTGACAGTTCGAGCTCCGGGGGATGAGACATGCACGGTGTCCTCCATCAAGGGCAAGGCCCAGTCTGCAGCACCTTTCCCTCTAAAGGTGATGTATATGACTTCCCAAGGCCACCGCCAAAAATTCACAAGTATTTTTATGAGCCATTGAAGAAATCAGTCCCTTAATGAGGTGACTCCCAAGTTCCTTTGCGTCTGGTCAGCACCTGTTTTGCGTCTTAGTGAAAGGCCCTCATTTTCTCATTAGAGCTGCAGATTCCCAAAGGTCAAGAGCCACTGCTCACCCAGCACTCCCTGACTGGAAGGAAGAAGCACGCTCTCCCTGAGATGGTTCCCGCCCATGCTGACCATGTGACCCACTTGGACCTGTGGGTATATTATGAGATCTTACGAGCTGAGTACTTGAGCCTTATTCCTCACTTTTTGGGGTGCTGCCCCCCTAAGACTGCCACAAAGAACCCTTGTCTAACCTCTACACATACGAAAGAGCCCAAGGAGAGAAGAGCTCTGCAACACAGCCTGAGTGAGGTTTGGGCAAAGCCAGCCAGAAGGAACCGGGATTTCAAACTGTAAAATGGTACTGATTTAAGTCACTCGGCATTTGGGATGGTTTTTACACGACAAGAGATAATAGAGACACCCACCCTTCCTGGTAAGCATGTCTACAGTTACAAGGCCTTGGCAAAATTCACCCAAGAATCAGTCTCCAGCTAGTGTTTTTCTGTCGTGAAGTATTCAGCTGAAGCCTGTGTCTGAGCTTAGCCAAGCATCACATTTTATGTAAATGCCTCTCCCAGAGTTCTTCATTGAATTGGTTCATCACTGAGCCTGGCAGTTTAAAATTCTTTTGCTGCCAGTATGACAAGGGGCTGGCAAGGTCAGCTTGTAAGCGATCAAGCTTTGAGCCTAACTGACTGGAATGCCAACCGCAGGTGTCACGGAGGTTGGGTGTGTTCATTTCTTCCCCTATATTGTAAGCTCCTTAATGACGAGGGGTGTGTGTGTGTGTGTGTACCATGGTGTGGTGCATGTGAAGGTCAAATAATGACTGAGGGGGGTGGGGTCAGTCCTTGCCTTCAGCTTAGTGTAAAGAGGGGTCTCTTGTTCACTGCTGCATACACCAGGCTAGCCGACCTGTGAACTTCTGACAGTTCTCTTTGTCTCCCAAGAGGGGCATGCTGGGACTGCAGGTGTATGTACTATTGCATCTGGCTCTTCATGCCGGTTCCAGGGCTAGAAGTCAGGGGTACCTGTCAGTCAGTGCAGCAAGTGCTTTACCCCATAAGCCGTCTCCTTAGCCCATGGTAAGACCAGATCAGGAAACACTGGGAGAGAAGAAGAAGCCAGATCATTGAACCTAGCACCTCATCATGTCACGAGGAAACACCTGAGCTGGGAAGAAGCCGATGGATCCCCAGGGATCTGTCTCAACACAGACTCTTTTATACTCCTGAGTGGTTCTGGTTTTCCTTTTTGACATTTGTTGCAGTTTAAAATATTCTCCCTGGGGCTAGAGAGGCGGCTCAGTGGCAAAGAGCATGTGCTGCTCTTGCAGAGGACCCAAGATGAGTTCCCAGCACCCATATCAGGTAACTCCCAACTGCTTGTAACTCGAGCTGCAGATTTGAACTCTCTCCTGGCCTCCTAGGGCACCCAATGTTGTGCCCATGTTGCGAATCCCCCAGAGACCACCAAGGAGCAGATTTCCGATGGAAGCACACAAGGGTCTTTTTATTTTCAGGTTCGAACCCAGACCAACACCCTACGCTCCAATGCAGTGGATGGAGGGAAATGTGGCAGTGGAGCTGGGCTCAAGGGGTAGGAGAGTTTTTAAAGGGAAAAACCACCAGCCAGGAATTACATATTTTGGCGTTTTGGCATTGGGTGAAGGGATATGGGACAGGGTGATTTTTTTTAACTATTGGTCTAGACTTTCAGTGTGAAATCATATTTGAAACTAATTGGCTGCTTCTAGGGTATTGGGTTTGAGTTTCATTGTCACAGAACATTCCTGAGATTTTTTTTTTCCTGAAACTGAGTACAGTCCCCAGTCACCAGGTGGTCTAAGATGGTGGCCCTTCCCTAAGATGGTGGCCCTTCCCTAAGATGGAGTCTGTAAAGTCAAGTCTAGGCTTTTATATTGCCTTCATACCACATATACATAGCATATACTCACACAGACACACACACACACACAATTAAAAACAAAAATAAATCTTTAAATGCAATGACTATTTAAATACAATCTTTAAATACATGATCTTGGGCAATCTAAGAGATAGGGTAGTCAACATCACACACATACACACACACACAGTGGTAGACGGGCAGGTGGCCTACAATCTCTTCATTCATGTTTCAGAAGGGCCAAGAGCTAGGGTCGCATAGGGATTGTCGCCAAGGCTCAACCACTAAATCAGCTGCTGGTTTTCTTCTATGCCTGTTACACCACAAGCCCTAGAAGAAAGCAGCTTGGCTTCACATGGTCAAGAGCCCTCCCTCAGCCAACCAAGACTCGTGTAGAGATGTATCATCCCTGAGCTAAGGGGGGACAGTCCAACTT